GAATTTGTTCCCATAAGAAATATTGTGAAGTAGATTAGTCCATTTCAGACCCCCAAACATACATGTACAAACGCACTTACATAAATACACTTGCATAATTGGTCGCATTCGGAGGTAATCGTTATGCGGGGGTCCACTGTACAACAAATTTCTAATAAAATTTCTAAGATCGTAGGCATACTATCGAAGATACGGTACTATGTTCCACAGTCAGCCCTCCTGGCCCTATATCACTCTCTTATATACCCCTATCTCACCTATGGAATTTGTGCATGGGGCTCAACAACAATTAACCATCTCAGACCACTAATTACCCAACAAAAGGCTGCAGTCAGAATGATAACAAATTCCCACTACAGGCAGCACACTCCACCAATATTCAAAACACTAAACCTACTCACCATACAAAACATCCATACTTATTACTGCACCTATTACATACATAGAACACTTAACTCTGATATTAACCCTCCCCTCAAACATCTTGCCAACCTCAACAGAACACATGACCATAACACAAGGCACAGATCACTCTTTGATATTCCTCGTGTCCATCTCATGCTATGCAAAAACTCAATGCACATAAAAGGCCCTAAAATCTGGAATTCATTACCTGTAAATATAAAAGAAACACTACCTGTTTATAAATTCAAGTCTCTTCTCAAAGGTCACTTACTCACTCAAAACCAAATAAATACTGAATAACTGAACCTTATAAATTGTATATCCAAAATGTTACTCACAATTATATCACATAAATGTTAAACCTAAGACCCAATCTAACTTTGTTATTTTTTAAATACACTACCTAACAGAATACTCCATTCTACTGAATGTACAGCAATGCATGCAACCATATGACCTGTCTTTGTAATACTCATTTGTGCTTTATTGTTATCTGTTTACAGTAATGTTTTATCACTGATTACATCATTGCTTAGTTAATCTTAAGTTAATTTTAAGCCTGCCCGTAATGCTATGCATACAAGTGGCTTTGGCATGCTGCTCTTATCTGTATTTTTTGTACCTCTGTATGTATATTCAAATTATTAAATAAATAAATAAATAAATAAATCTATCTCTTACTCTAACTATAGCTACAACTAAATAATGATCTGATATATCTGTTGCCCCTCTATAAACGTATATTCTGAAGCCTACCCATCAACTTTTTATCTACCAATACATAATCTAACAAACTACATGTACTTTCATTATGTGCTATATCATACCTTGTATACCTATTTATCCTCATTTTCATAAAATATGTATTACTTATTACCAAACCTCTTTCTATACATAGCTCAATTAAAGGCTCCCCATTTTCATTTACCCCTGGCAAGCCAAATTTACCTACTACTCCCTCCACAACATTTTTACCCACTTTAGCATTGAGATCCCCAACCACACATACTCTCTCACTTGGTTCAAAACTCCTCATGCACTCACTCAACATTTCCCAAAATCTCTCTCTCCCTCATCTACACTTCTCTCTTCTCCAGGTGCATAAACACTTACTATAACCCACTTTTCACATCCAACCCTTATTTTACACCACATAATCCTTGAATTTATACATTTATATTCCCTCTTTTCATGCCATAATTTATCCTTCAACATTATTGCTACTCCTTCTTTAACTCTAACTCTATTTGAAACCCCTGACCTAATCTCATTTATTTCTCCCCACTGAAACTCTCCTACCCCCTTCAACTTTGTTTCACTTAAAGCCAGGACATCCAGCTTCTTCTCATTCATAACATCCATAATCATCTCTTTCTTATCATTTGCACAACATCCATTCACATTCAAACATCCCACTTTGATGGTTACTAGGCCATTGTTCCCAGCATTTTAGCTGACTTTTACAACACGCATGGCTTACGGAGGAAAGATTCTTTTTCCACTTCCTCATGGATATAAAAGGAAAAGTAATAAGAACAAGAACTATTAAGATAAAATCAAAGAAAACTCAAATGAGTGTGTATACATAAATGTGTACATGTATGTGTAGTATGACCTAAGTGTAAGCAGAAGTAGCAACACGTACATGAATTCTTGCATGTTTATGAGACAGAAAAAAAGACACCAGCAATCCAACCATCATGTAAAACTAATATAAGCTACCTTTTCACTTTCACTTGGTAGGACGGTAGTACCTCCCAAATGGTTGCTGTCTACCAACCTACTACCTACCTACCTTTTTTTTTTTTTTTTTCAACAAGTTGGCCATCTCCCACCAAGGCAGGGTGACTCAAAAAAGAAAGAAAATCCCCAAAAAGAAAATACTTTCATCATCATTCAACACTTTCATCACACTCACACATTATCACTGTTTTTGCAGAGGTGCTCAGAATACAACAGTTTAGAAGCATACACATACAAAGATACACAACATATCCCTCCAAACTGCCAATATCCCAAACCCCTCCTTTAAAGTGCAGGCACTGTACTTCCCATTTCCAGGACTCAAGTCCGACTATATGAAAATAACCGGTTTCCCTGAATCCCTTCACTAAATATTACCCTGCTCACACTCCAACAGATCGTCAGGTCCCAAGTACCATTCGTCTCCATTCACTCCTAACACGCTCATGCACGCTTGCTGGAAGTCCAAGCCCCTCGCCCACAAAACCTCCTTTACCCCCTCTTTCCAACCCTTTCGAGGATGACCCCTACCCCTCTTTCCTTCCCCTATAGATTTATATGCTTTCCATGTCATTCTACTTTGATCCATTCTTTCTAAATGACCAAACCACCTCAACAACCCCTCTTCTGCCCTCTGACTAATACTTTTATTAACTCCACACCTTCTCCTAATTTCCACACTCCGAATTTTCTGCATAATATTTACACCACACATTGCCCTTAGACAGGACATCTCCACTGCCTCCAACCGTCTCCTCGCTGCTGCATTTACCACCCAAGCTTCACACCCATATAAGAGTGTTGGTACTACTAGACTTTCATACATTCCCTTCTTTGCCTCCATAGATAATGTTTTTTGACTCCACATATACCTCAACGCACCAATCACCTTTTTTCCCTCATCAATTCTATGATTAACCTCATCCTTCATAAATCCATCCGCCGACACGTCAACTCCCAAGTACTGTATCTGAAAACATTCACTTCTTCCATACTCCTCCTCCCCAATTTGATATCCAATTTTTCTTTATCTAAATCATTTGATACCCTCATCACCTTACTCTTTTCTATGTATAATAATAATAATAATAATAATAATAATAATAATAATAATAATAATAATAATAATAATAATAATAATAATAATAATAATAATAATACATAATTGTAGGTAGTAGGATGGCAGACAGCAACTGCCCAGGGAGGTATTACCATCATGTCAAGTGAGTGTAAAATGGAAACCTGTAATTGTTTTACATGATGGTAGGATTGCTGGTGTCATTTTTGTCTCATAAACATGCAAGAGTTCAGGTACATCTTGCTACTTCTGCTTGCACTTAGGTCACACTACACATACATGTACAAGCATATAGTATATACACACCCCTCTGGGTTTTCTTATATTTTCTTTCTAGTTCTTATTCTTGTTTATTTCCTCTTATCTCCATGGGGAAGTGAAACAGAATTCTTCATCTGTAAGCTATGCGTGTTGTAAGAGGCGACTAAAATGCCGGGAGCAAGGGGCAAGTAACCCCTTCTCCTGTATATATTACTAAATTTAAAAGGAGAAACTTTCGTTTTTTCTTTTGGGCCACCCCGCCTCAGTGGGATACGGCTGGTACGTTGAAATAATAATAATAGTGTAATAATAATAATAAAAATCTTTATTTCTTCAAGTACATGCACACTGTATACAGACCTAACCGATATCAAAGACATACTATATAAAAAGACTCTTGCTATGAAGAGCATTTTGGGCAAATTAATGTTTACACCTGTACAGGGGATTGAACCTCGGACTTCAGTGTGTGAGCTGAGTGTGCTACCATCCAAGCTACGGGACACTAAGTTCATGAAAAAAAAAACTGTATAGTGACTGAAAAATCTCACTTCCATCTAAGTCCTGTATATAACTGAGAAGTGAAATGAAAAGATACAATGATTATCTACTCTTGGAGAGAGGGGGTTCACAAACTGCTAGTGCCATAGGATAACAAAAGAAAACAGAAGCAGAAGTGGGCTGAGTTAAAAGTGGAAGTAAAGTCTAGACTTCTTTCTTTCTTTCAACACACCGGCCGTATCCCACCGAGGCGGGGTGGCCCAAAAGGAAAAACGAAAGTTTCTCCTTTTACATTTAGTAATATATACAGGAGAAGAGGTTACTAGCCCTTTGCTCCCAGCATTTTAGTCGCCTCTTACAACACGCATAGCTTACGGAGGAAGAATTCTGTTCCACTTCCCCATGGAGGTAAGAGGAAATAAGAACAAGAACTTGAAAGAAAATAGAAGAAAACCCAGAGGGGTGTGTATATATATGTTTGTACATGTATGTGTAGTGTGACCTAAGTGTAAGTAGAAGTGGCAAGACGTACCTGAAACCTTGCACGTTTATGAGACAGAAAAATGAACACCAGCAATCCTACCATCATGTAAAACAATTACAGGCTTTCGTTTTACACTCACTTGGCAGGACGGTAGTACCTCCCTGGGCGGTTGCTGCCTACCAACCTACTACCTAAAGTCTAGACACTTGTTAAAAAAAAGGTTATAATCTGAGAGGTTGGTAAGTCTTGTGTACAGTGGGTGTCTTTATTATTTTCAGCTGAAAAAGAATACTCAGAAGTGACTTTTGGATCTCAATCCTGACAGGTAAAACAGTTGTAAATAACTAATAAAAAGCATATACTATAATTGTTAATGCATATTTTTGCATATAATAATAAGAATTAAAAAGAAGTGTAAAATAAAATGCATGAATGATACAGCATTACTAACTGATCACTGTATTATTTATTAAGTGTCTAAGCCTTTTCAACACAGATACCATCAGGTAACACATGAATAAAACATACCTTGCATGACTTAAAAGATGCAGCACAACAGGGCGATAATCTAAAACAGCAGCTTTCACTGCTCCAAGGTAAGCAGAAATAGCAAGAAGTCCTCCTCGCTGGCTGCCTCGAATTACCCACTTCCCATCAGTGTAAATTAAAGGGACAGCTTGAACTAGGCGAAGAACATACCACACACTTGATCGATCAAGGTTACCACCAATTATCTGATCTGTTGAAAAATTACATCCCATATATGACAACTGTATTGAAATACTGGGAGCAAAGCAAATGCTAAGGGAGGGAATGAGTGAAATACTAACAGAATAGAAACTGGTAAGAGCTTCAGTTTGTTTTATATTACTGATGCCTTTTTCTAATGAAAAAATATTCAATGATTTGTATGATTTCTCCCTGTTCACATTAGATTTGTCATATTAATATATGAAATGTCCACAGCTGTCCTGGGAGACAATTAGTATGCAGAAAGTTTATGTAACTTTTTACTTTTTAACCCTTAAACTGTTCAAATGTAGATCTACCTTGTTACCGTTAGCACTCCACACATAGATCAACGTTTTATTTATCCTGCCTCCAAATTTGGCACGATTGGCCTGAGATGCCTGTTCAGTATAGAATGGGTCTTAACACTCGGTGTGTGCAGTATTAAAAAAATTTGGGACCACTTAGTACCTTGTGGGAGCACCAGTTCAACTGAGTGCCAGCTCGAGCCAACAGAGTGGCAAACACCAGGGATTCACTCATGCCATGTTGTATTAACACTCCCTTTTAAGAGGAAAGTGATGTTGAACCTGAGTTTAGTGGCTTTGAGATGGATGTGGCCACAAGTGGTCAAGGAAATATCAAAAACCTCGATAATAACACATGTGCAACATCCTTTCAATTTTGATACCACTGGTAGTGTCAACCTGTCCTATAACCTATGCCCTAAGTAAAGAGAAACAATTCTGGAACGTGTAATACGTATTCGGCAGGCTGGGTGGCTGGATGGCCGGTTGGCTGGCTGGCTGGCTGGCCGGTTGGCTGGTTGATTAACTTTGGCTGTTTCTCCGTCTGTATCTGTCTCTTTCTCTGTCTATTTCTGTCTGTCTCTGTTTCTGTTTGTCTCTGTTTATCTCTGTCTCTGTCTATCTCTGTCTCTGTCTATCTCTGTCTCTGTCTGTCTCTATCTCACAGGTACACATAAGTACAGTTATCATACATACTGTAAATTACCTAGGATAACCCCAAAAATCCAGACACAGTGCTATACTGTGCTTGTAGATCTTTTCTTCTTCTTTCAACACATCGGCCGTATCCCACCAAGGCGGTGTGGCCCAAAATAAAAAACGAAAGTTTCTCCTTTTACATTTAGTAATATATACAGGAGAAGAGGATACTAGCACCTTGCTCCCAGCATTTTAGTCGCCTCTTACAACACACTTGGCTTACGGAGGAAGAATTTTGTTCCACTTCCCCATGAAGATAAGAGGAAATAAACAAGAATAAGAACTAGAAAGAAAATAGAAGAAAACCCAGAGGGGTGTGTATATATATGCTTGTACATGTATGTGTAGTGTGACCTAAGTGTAAGTAGAAGTAGCAAGGCGTACCTGAAATCTTGCATGTTCATGAGACAGAAAAAAGGACACCAGCAATCCTACCATCATGTAAAACAATTACAGGCTTTCGTTTTACACTCACTTGGCAGAAGGTAGTACCTCCCTGGGTGGTTGCTGTCTACCAACCTACTACCTAGGGTGCTTGTAGATTTAAGGCATAATAAGCATGACTGGCAAGTAATACACATTTTCACTTGATCTGGAATCAGATGTGATGACTCTGCATTGTGTGTAGTACTTGTTGGCTCTCTCTGAGACAAAGAAACAAACAGAAAGAGACAGGAAGACAGAGACACACAGGTAGACAGAAAGACATAAGCAGACAGAGCTAGAGACAGACAGATACACACAGAGAGACAGACATGTTTATGTGTAAACAAATAAAGCCACGGTTCCCTGGAGCAGTGTTTGATCATCAAGTGTCACTTCACTGCTGCACTGTCAGCAGTGGATTGACACTTGTTTTACACAGTACTTCAAGGAGTTTCATATATACTCCAGCATGTCTAAAACATTGCTGGGACCTATAAATACTTTGTATATAATTGTAGACAATAGTATGTGACCAAAACAGGTGAAAATGTTGGCTTGTCAGTGTGTTTGTGACTATTTGAATGCTTATGAAATCACAAGAATTACTACAAATTGTAATTATCAGACTATAAAAATTATATAAATTAAAATAAAAATGAGAAAAAAGGTATATCAGCAACACTTCTGCAAATAGCAGGACTCCATGTTGCCATCAGGTGAGCATCCAATGCCAACTTCACGGCCTTATATCTAGGCAAGTACTGACCCTAATTTTTTTTTTTTGGTCTTATAACACACAGAAAATTGCCCTCTTTAATTTAAAAAAAAATTAAAATATTCGAAGCGCTGGCAGTGAAAACCTAACTCTATGCTTGGACAGTTTAAGGGTTAAAATGATATGGCAATATAGTATGGAAAATATTTACTTGAACCTGGGTCTTCCTAGACAAATAACAGAAGGCCTTATAGTCTTTATAGCCTTTAATGAGGTTATCTACTAAGAAAATTTAATACAGGGGCTCCTCAACTTATGCTGGGGTTATGTTCTGACGAACCCATCCTAAGTTGAAAATATTGTAAGTCGAATATGAATATGATATGCTAAATAACTACTGTCACAAATTATTACTGTAACTAACTAAATACCATTACTGAAAAGTAAATAAATGAATACAAGCAGGCATGTATGAGCATGTTAGGACTGAGTGGAAACAAATGGTTTTTGGGACTTGACGAGCTGTTGGTGTGTGAACAGGGTAATATTTTGTTAGGGATTCAGGGAAACTGATTAGCTGGACTTAAGTTCTGGAGGTAGGAAGCACAGTGCCTACACTCTAAAGGAGGGGTTTGGGATATCTGCTGTTTAGAGTAATATCTAAACTGTTGTATCTGCACACCTTTGGCAAGACAGTGATAGTGTGAATGATGGTGAAATTATTTCTTTTTTTTTGGGTCACCCTGCCTTGGTGGGAGATGGCCAGTGTGTTTAAAAAAAAAGTTATAGACTTGCCACCTTCATGCTGGGTAATTATCTTTAGTTTCATCTCCAAAGTAATTGTATTTGCACCATCATAAACTGAAAATATCTTAAGTCGAATCAACGTAAGTCAAGGAGAGCCTGTATAATAACAAAACATTACCTTGTAAAAATTCTAGTCCCTTGGAAAGTCCTTTGTGTGGCTGTGCTGACAGTAGCATATAAAGCACTTGGTCCAGCACTGATCCAAGTGCCTTCTCGGGACATTCTGCAGATGGTGGGAATCCAGCATAAGCATACAGTGCTTCTTGTTCTTCGTGTCCACCAATAAACGATAACACCACCTCAGCTAGCAGAACAGTTTGATCTATTCCCTATATAATGAAAACAAGGAATGTAAGCATGTATTCACATGACTACATAATGTATTATAAATATAGTACAGCAATGCATTTCCATTTATCCAGCATATTTATGCAAATAGGACAAACAATTAATACTACACCGTAACATAACAGCTTGAGCTCAAATAACAAGGATATAAACTATGCAAAAACTTTTTCATTTACCTCTGGCAGAGTTTTGGCAAGATCAATTGCTAGTTCCCACAATGAAAGTCGAATGGCACGATAAGTGAGGTAACGCAACGACGTCTCCACCAGACCCTTGATTTCTGGAGTATCAGTCTTACAAATACGTGAACTTTCAGAATCTGAATTCTCATGGCCTAACAAACGACCTACAGCAACTACTAGCTCCAATTCATGGCCACGTAGAAGCATTGAAAGTGCACCCTGGAAAGAAAAAAGGTAATTTCTGAATGCAAGTGGTGAGACAGAGACTTTAGCACAAGCAGTAACAGATTTCCATTATAGAATGGATGTACATCAGAGTTAGTGTGTGTGAGCTTTTACCATTTTGATTGAATATTTAACTACTATATTAATTATATACAAACCAGATATGTAGATGTAATGGATGTACTGGATTGACAAAGGCACTACTGATTAGTGAAGTGCCTCTGCAATAAAGATACCCAAGTGTTGCACATGTGAATATTTAACCCTCTGACTGTTTTAGCCATATATATACGTGTTACGAGCCAGTGTTTCGGACGTATATATAGTCAATAATTCTATTGGCAGTTTGGAGGGATATGTTGTGTATCTTTATACGTATATGCTTCTAAACTGTTGTATTCTGAGCACCTCTGCAAAAGCAGTGATAATGTGTGAGTGTGGTGAAAGTGTTGAATGATGATGAAAGTATTTTCTTTTTGGGGATTTTCTTTCTTTTTTGGGTCACCCTGCCTCGGTGGGAGACGGCCGACTTGTTGAAAAAAAAAAAAAAAAAAAAATTCTAGTGGCTTCAAATCAAGCAGGAGAAAGCTGGTAGGCCCACATGTGAGAGAATGGGTCTGTGTGGTCAGTGTGCACTGTATAAAAAAAATCTTGCAGCACACAGTGCATAATGAGAGAAAAAAAAATCCAACCGAGTTTTTGGTAGCCGACTTTGAGGTGTGTTTTCCTATAGTATTTATGGTTGTATTCTCGTTTTCTTGGTCTCATTTGATAAAATGGAAAACATATTACAGAAATAGAGATGATTTTGATTAGTTTCACAATGAAAACGACCTTGAAACAGAGCTCAAAGTATGGGAAATGTTCAATTTTTACCAATGTTCAAGAGTAAGCAAATCACACAACAAGTCCAATACACTTCAACTGGGGAGTCTAATATTGTTTCACTAGTGCACTGATATTATTTATACTATTTTTACAATAATGCAGTAGTCTGCACAACAGTAACTCTATTTTATGTGTGAATAAAAAATAAAAATAGAAAGCAAGAGTAATATAAGAAGGGCCTGGAGATGTGATTAACGAACAGAGGATATGTTATTTTAGTGCCGAGAATGTCTGCACTGTTTATTCTGGACCCTATTTTGAAATTGGCATCTTTTTTAATTTGTGTGAAATTGGCCAAATTGCCAATTTCTGACCACTTTATTAGGTAGTTGAAATCAGTAAATAGGTGGTTTCTTGTACTCAATTGATAGAAAAAATGGAGTTCTAAAGAAATAGCTATGAGTTTGGTCGCGTGGAACAATGGAACTGGCCGAAAATAGGGCTCAAAGTCAGCGAAATCGCCAATGCGTATATATTGCCGAGATAGTTAACTTCGCGGGAGTGTAATTCCGTAAGTTTTCGATCAAATTTTGTACTTTTGGTGTCATTACCATCGGGAAAAGATTCTCTATCATTCCATAAGAAAACATAATTTTTTTTTTCCAAAAATTTTTCGACACCAGGAGACAATTCAGGATTTGGGGTTGCAACAGTTAACCCCATCAGGGTCCAAGGACCAAATCTGAAGTGGTGCCCCAGTGTCCAAGAATTTAAAAAAAAAATTTGTTATTTTTTCTTATGAAATGGTAGAGAATCTTTTTGTGAAGGTAATAAAACAAAAAGTACAAAATTTGATGGAAAATTTACGAAATTATGCTCTCGCGAATTTTGATGTGTCAGCGATATTTCCGAATCTGCGATTTTGCCAACTTTGACTCCCAGTTTAGGCCAATTACATTATTCCAGGCAACCAAATTCTTAGCTATTTCACTAGTATTACTTCTATTCTATCGATTGAGCACAAGAAATCGCCAAGTCAACTGTTTCAACTACAAAATAAAGTGATCAGAAATTGTTAATTTGGCCAATTTAACACAAAGTTCAAAATATTCCAATTTCAAAATGGGGTCCAGAATAAACAATGTAGGTATTCCTGGAACTAAACTAACGTTTCCTCTGTTCATTAGTTATGTTTTGAGGCTTTACAAATAAATTCCATTTTGATTTTTTATTCACATAATGAATTTTTATTCACACCAAAAAATAGATTTGCTGTTATGCAATACTGTAATAAGTGTATAAATATCATCACCATATTTGTGAATGTATATTAGACCCACCAGCCGGTGTGTATTAGATGTGTGAGGTCGTTTGTTTACTCTTGAATATCGGCAAAAATTTAACATTTCCGCTACTTTGAGCTCAGTTTCAAGCCATTTCCAATGCTAAAACCAATCAAAATCATTCTATTTCTGTAATATGTCTTCCATTCTATCAAATGAGACCAAGAAATCGCAAATAAAACTATAAAAAACATACGAAAAACACTGCAAAGTCGCTGTTTTAATAAAAAATCATGATTTCAGTTTTTTTTCTCTCATTATACACAGTGTGCTGCAGGATCTGTTTTATGTGGTGCACACATACCACACAGATGTATTCTCTCATATCTAGGCCCAAATGTACCACTCACAGTTTATCAGAGTGAGCTGAGCTCATGACGTAGATCTATGGTTTGGACCCTGAACGTAAAGCCGTAGATCTACGGGACGGACCCTGAAAGGGTTAAAGGGTTAATGTCTGTGGAACAGAATACAGTGGACCCTTCCTTTTCATCATTAATCCATTCCAGAGAGAGTGGCAAAACCCAAAATCAGCAAAAACTGAAACCATCTTCCCTATAAGAAATAATGTAAATCCAATTAATCCGTTTCAGACACCCAGAAGTATTAACCCTTTCAGGGTCCAGAGGCCAAATTTCAAAGTGTGCACCAGGGTCCAAGAATTTAAAAAAAAAAAAAAAAAATTTATTTTTTCTTATGAAATGGTAGAGAATCTTTTTCTGAAGGTAATAAAACAAAAAGTATGAAATTTGATGAAAAATTGACGAAATTATGCTCTCGTGAATTCTGATGTGTCAGTGATATTTACGAATCGGCGATTTTGTCGAATTTGACTCCCATTTTAGGCCAATTACATTATTCCAGTCGACCAAATTCTTAGCTATTTCACTAGTATTACTTCTATTCTATCGACTGAGCACAAGAAATCGCCAAGTCAACTGTTTCAACTACAAAATAGTGATTGGAAATTGGTAATTTGGCCAATACAACACAAAGTTCAAAATATTCCAATTTCAAAATAGGGTCCAGAATAAACAATGTAGGTATTCCTAGCACTAAACTAACATTTCCTCTGTTCATTAGTTACATTTTCAGGTTTTACAAATGAATTCCATTTTGATTTTTTATTCACATAATGAATTTTTATTCAAACCAAAAAATAGAAGATTTACTGTTATGCAATATTGTAATAATTGCATAAATATCATCACCACATTTGTGAATGTATATTAGACCCACCAGCTGGTGTGTATTAGACGTGTGAGGTCGTTTGTTTATTCTTGAACATCGGCAAAAATTTAACATTTCCTCTAATTTGAGCTCAGTTTCAAGCCATTTCCAGTGCTAAAACCAATAAAAATCATCTCTAATTCTGTAATATGTCTTCCATTCTATCAAATGAGACTAAGAAATCGCAAATACAACTTGGCCCTCTTCTCTTTCTCCTATACATAAATGACCTACCAAATGCTTCGCAATTACTCAAACCCACACTTTTTGCAGATGACACTACATACGTCTTCTCTCACCCAAGCCCAGTCACGCTAGCCAATACTGTAAACACCGAATTACAGAAAATATCTACCTGGATGAGGACTAACAAACTTACACTAAACATTGACAAAACCTACTTCATTCAGTTTGGTAACAGAGCTACAGATGTACCTCTTAACATAACGATAAATGGATCAACTATCACAAAGCTAACAGAGGGAAAATTCTTAGGAATCCACCTCGATAATAGACTCAAATTTCATACACATATACAACAAATTTCTAAGAAAATTTCCAAGACTGTAGGCATACTATCGAAGATACGGTACTATGTTCCACAGTCAGCCCTCCTGGCCCTTTATCACTCTCTTATTTACCCCTATCTCACCTATGGAATTTGTGCATGGGGCTCAACAACAATTAACCATCTCAGACCACTAATTACCCAACAAAAGGCTGCAGTTAGAATGATAACAAATTCTCACTACAGGCAACACACTCCACCAATATTCAAAACACTCAACCTACTCACCATACAAAACATCCATACTTATTATTGCACCTATTACACACATAGAACACTTAACTCCGATATTAACCCTCCCCTCAAACATCTCCTTGCCAACCTCAACAGAACACATGACCATAACACAAGGCACAGATCACTCTTTGATGTTCCTCGTGTCCATCTCACGCTATGCAAAAACTCAATGCACATAAAAGGCCCTAAAATCTGGAATTCATTACCTGTAAATATAAAAGAAACACTACCTGTTTATAAATTCAAGTCTCTTCTCAAAGTTCACTTACTCACTCAAAACCAAATAAATACTGAATAACTGAACCTTATAAATTGTATATCCAAAATGTTACTCACAATTATATCACATAAATGTTAAACCTAGGACCCAATCTAACTTTGTTATTTTTTTAAATACACTACCTAACAGAATACTCCATTCTACTGAATGAACAGCAATGCATGCAACCATATGACCTGTCTTTGTAATACTCATTTGTGCTTTATAGTTATCTGTTTACAATAATGTCTTATCACTGATTTCATCATTGCTTAGTTAATCTTAAGTTAATTTTAAGCCAGCCCGTAATGCTATGCATATAAGTGGCTTTGGCATGCTGCTCTTACCTGTATTTTTTTTGTACCTCTGTATGTATGCTAAAATTTCTAAATAAATAAATAAATAAAAAAATACGAAAAAACACTGCAAAGTCGCTGTTTTAATAAAAAATCATGGTCTCAGTTTTTTTCTCTCATTATACACTGTGCTGCAGGATTTGTTTTATGTGGGGCACACATACCACATAGAT